GGGAGTGAAAGCGCTGTGCGTCGGTTGGGTTGATTCTCGGACTGAGCGGAGATGTGGGTCAGGTGGAGCGGAGAGGACGGTTGGTGGCGCGCATTCTTTTGAAGGAGCACAAAAATAAAGAAAAGATGAGGCACATTTATATTTGAATCTTGTTTCCTGAACCAGAAGTGGTGTTGAGTTTAGACGTGGGCACGTCTTATACAAAAACACCTTCTGGATAGTGAGAGACTTTAGGAATAATTCTGCTTTTGTAAGGCGTGCCCACGGGTTACAAAAATTCATCTTCTGACCTAAAGAGGAAAACAAGAATAATTGTACTCTAAAAAATCAAGGAAAAATAAAATAAAAAGAACGAAAATAGAAATTAAAAAAGAAAAGAAAATTTGGTTTGCCTCCCAAGAGAGTCTTTCTTTAACGTCTTTGGCTAGACGTTGTAGCTTCCCAATCATCCTAAGTTAGGTACTCCAAAATGGTTTGACCAACAGTATGCACCAGAGAACCTTCATAAAAAGGTTTGAAATGATGATCATCGTCCTTAAATATTTGACCTGTATCCAAACCTTGTATTTCATCGATAGAGAATTTTTTTTCTCCACCCAATAGCTTCCTTTTACTCTCTAAGCATTTGAATCAACTTTTCTTCTTCAAAGCGGGAGAGTTTGTTGGGAATGATCACCGGAATAGTTTCCTCTTCTCCTAGATATACATGCTTCAGATGATTTGACAAAGGTTTCGTTTTCAATTTTGGTGCCTGCACAAGAGAAGGAAGAAGCTTGGTGTGAGAAAAAGGTGACTCAATATAAGAAACATCATACCTCATGGGTTTGAGTGATTCTAGTTCTTGGATTGTATCTTGCAAATCAAGATCCAATACAGACTCTTTCATGATTCCCTGCAATCCTTCAGGAGTGAAATTCATGTTGAGTGCAACTTTCAACTTGTCATCATTATTTAAATCAAAAATTTCCTGCGCTAAAGGGTCAATAACATCCATGAAAAAAACAGAGGACACATCACCAGGACATCTCATGGCATCATAAATATTGAATTTAATAATTTCACCATCAAATTCCATGGTAAGTGTACCATCATCTACATCAATTTTTGTCCTAGCTGTTTTCAAAAATGGCCTTCCTAATAAAATTGATGTTGATTTAGAATAATCATCTTCTTGCATATCAAGCACATAAAAATCTGCAGGAAAAACCAATTCATTAACTTGCACCAAAACATCCTCTAAAACTCCCTCAGGATATACATTAGATCTATCAGCAAGTTGAAGAATCACTCATGTTTCTTTCAAAGGACCAACATTCAGACATGAATAAATGGAAAGAGGCATGATATTTATTGAGGCTCCTAGATCTAACATTGCTCTCTCAATCCTAACATTATCGAGTTTACAAGGGATAGTAAACATACCTGGATCTTTGCACTTGGGAGGTAGTTTTTTCTGGAGGACAGCTGAAACATTCTCCCCCATACTTACCTTTTCATTACCCTTGAGCTTTCTCTTGTTGGTGCACAATTCTTTAAGAACTTTAGCATATTGAGGTACTTGTTTAATTGCATCAAGTAAAGGAATATTTACCTCGATCTTGCGAAATGTCTCAAGAATTTATTTCTCTTCTGCTTTTTTCTTGGATTTAGCAAATCTAGAGGGAAAAGGAGGTTCTATGACAAATTCTTTCAGTTTTTCGCTTTTGAGTCCTTTAGGTTGGTCTTTCTGAGTTTGAGGAGCAACAACTTCCTTTTCAACTTTTTCCTTTAAGGCTCTCCCATGTGCCAATCGACTAGGTTCCTTCAACTCCTTTCCACTTCTCAATGTGATTGCACTAACGTTTTGTTTTGGATTAACAATGGTTTGTGAAGGTAACTTACCTTGGGATTCTAACCGATTCACGGATGATGCCAATTGACTCACTTGATTCTCCAAATTTTGTATGCTTGTTCTTGTCTCTTGCTGAAATTGTTGTGTATTAGTTGCAAGTGATTTGACAATTTCTTCTAGAGACATACATGGCTTTGAAGAAGACTGCTCAGGTGGAGAACGCTGGAATTGTGATAGTCTTGGTCCATAGCTAAGGTTAGGATGATCCCTGCATCCTGGATTATAGGTATTTAAGTAAGGATCATATTTCCTTTATGGAGGATCGGGAAACCTTCCAGCTGCATTGGCGTACTCATGAGATTCATCTTGAAGTGTAGGGCACATGTCAGTTGGGTGACCGGTTACAGCACATATCCCACAAGTTTTCACTTGCTGCGTTTTTCCTACAACTAGTTGTTGAACAAGGGAGGTGAGATGCGATAATTGATGTTCAATGGAGGACGAACCTACCTCATTCACCCTTCTTGAAGATGTGTCTTGCCTAAAGCCAAATTGTTGTGAATTAGCGGCCATGATGGAGATCAATTCCCTAGCTTCACGAGGAGTCTTATTCACTATGGCGCCTCCACTAGCTGCATCCATCATCTTCCTCTCCATGGGTAGAAGTCCCTCATAGAAATATTGGATGAGAAGTTGCTCAGAAATCCCATGTTAAGGGCAGCTTGCACACAGTCGTTTGAATCGTTCCCAATACTCGTGAAGGGTTTCAGTATCTTTTTGTTTTGTTCCACATATCTCCCTTCGAATGCCAGCGGCTCTTGAAGCGTGGAAATATTTATCAAGAAATAACCTCACCATATCGGTCCAAGTAGTTACAGAACCAGGGGGTAAATAGAAGAGTCAATCTTTAGCTCTATCGGTTAGCGAGAACGGAAAAACGCGCAGTTTTATATGCTTTTCAGTCACTCCTTGCGGTCTCATACTTGAACATACCACATGGAATTCCTTCAAATGCTTATGAGGATCTTCATTCTCAAGTCCATGGAAAGTAGGCAACAAATGAATCAAACCATATTTTAGTTCAAAAGCTACATCCAAAGTTGGGTAGTCAATGCAGAGCGGTTGTTGATTCTCATTTGGTATAGCCAATTCTCTTATAGTTCTTTCTTCGTTGGTCATTGTTCCTTCTACTTCAGAATCGCTGGATGAATCAACCAAGTTGACTGCAGATTCTGATTCAGGGGATGAAGAATAAGAAGCTTGTTTGTTGCGCAAGTTAGTTTCTTTTCTTAACCTGCGAGCGGTCTTCTCGATTTCAGGATCATATTGGAGTTCACCTGCACGAGAAGAACGAGGTATCAAAATAAATTTAAATGACACCAATCCCCGACGACGGCGCCAAAAATTTGGTGGGTGTCGAATCCAACAAATAATAATACTTGCTTTTTAGAAATATAAATTGTAGTAGTGATAAGCAAGGTCGAATCCACAGGGATTGGGTAGACTTATTTTAATGAAAACTAACGCAAGGAAAAAAGGGTTTTTTGAAATTGAGAAAAATAAAGACAAAAAGCAATTATAATAAACTAAGAATTTAGAGAAATTGATATTAAGGAAATATCTAACTAAAGGTATAATTTCAGAATTGATTCAGATAATTGATCATAGATGCAATGATAAAATCTTCTACTTTTCACTAAATTGGTTATGGTTATTGAGAAGCTCTAACAACCTGTCTCTCCTTAGTTTCTCGATAATCAAGAGAAGCTCTTTGATTATTTCCCCAGTTAATGAACAACCCTAGACAAGCTCTTAAGATTTAATCCACCAACAGCATTAATCACTAGAGGGACCACCAATTCTAGCCAACAAATATGCAAGCTCAATTCATTTAGACTATGTTATATACCTTCATAACATAATCATAATCAACCATGTTACTTTACCACTAATATTAGAACATTTAAACAATTACGGATTTAAAGTTCTAAATGGTAATTTATTAACCTGATAATTGAACAACGGATCCTTTGCACAATCAATGAAGACAATAATTCTTAATAAAAACAGAAGATATATAAATAGTAAAGAAGTAAAAGAACAATGAAAATTATTTAGATCTCACAATCCTTGAAGAACCAAAACTTCAATTATCCTTCAGTTGGAACAAAAGTATTTAGCTACTCATAATTGAAAGAAAACTAAAAGAAAATAAAGATGAAAACTTAATGTAAAACTTGATGATTCACTAATGAAAGCCCTAGCTCCCCTTTTATAAGGATTTTCCTATTATAGATAACGAAGTTTCCCTTAAAGAAAATCCCACAAAAATAGGAGTTTTAAATGCCCTCATCTTTTTCTAAAGATAAGAATAAATCAAAATAGTCTTTCAGCCGTCATTAAACTCTTTTTCCTTTGTAAATTTGTAGCCCTAATTTAGGGTTACATGGACTAGTAAGGCGCGCCCACGCCTTAATTGAAGACTTCTTCTGCGGTAGTTCAGGATGAATAAGCCGTGCCCACGCCTTATGCGAAAACCTCTTCTGGTCTTACCAACTTCTTGAATTCCGATTTTTCCTCCTTAATTTAGGGATTTTATGAAGATCATGCTAATCATTAGATTTTGAACTTGTTTTATCCAAATCTTCAACCTAATCCATAAAATATGAAATATAATCAAAATCCATGATTTAAGCAATTTTAGTTATTCAAATATGAGGAAAATATCATAGAATATATGTCTAATATATATTTTATCAACCCTATATTAAAAGATATGTTAATAGTACTGAACTTGTCCTCGTTCTAGGAGGTTATTAATCGTGCTAAAGCTCTTGAGAGAGCTCAGAATGAGAGATTTAGGGACTCAAGAGTTCAGACATCTAAGAGGACTGGTGCTTCTTCAAACACAACACCACCAAAAAGGGGAAGATATTCAAGATTTCGACCTCAAGCTAGATCAGAATCAATTACATCCTCAGTAAGAAGAGCAAGTCAGATGAGAGCTCGACAGACACAATCAGTGGAATCTGGTACTGGGAAAGCCACTCAAGGTCAAGCGAGACAATGTCAGCATTGTGGGAAGAATCATTTTGGAACTTGTCGAATGGCTTCTGGAGTCTGTTTTCGATGAGGAGATGCCGGACATTTTATTCGGGATTGCCCATTAATGGTGGGTGAGTCTGCACCATTTGAAAGAAATGTTTCTGCCTCACAACGAGGACGAGGAAGAGGTAGAGGAAGAAATCAATTTGAATCATTTGCACAACCTGAAATTCGCTCTACCGCATGGGTGTACAATTTAAAGACAAGTGATGACTGTGATGATTCCGATATTATAGTAGGTACTTTCCAGCTGTATGATAAATTAGTATTGGTGTTGATTGATACGGGTTCCAATTATTCTTATATTACCAGTAAATTAATAACAGAATTGAGAATTTCGTTAGAAGCTACGAGTAATGAAGTGATAGTAATTAATCCTTTATGGCACAGTGCTCGGGTGAATAAGGTCTGTAAGGGATGTCCCATAAGGATTTAGGGAATTGAATTTCCTGCTAATCTGATGGAATTACCTTTTGATGAATTTGAAGTAATTTTGGGAATGGATTGGTTGTTTCGTTATTATGGGAATGATGATTGTAGATTGAAAAAGGTAACCCTGGAGAGTCCAGAAGGGATAGAAGTAAATGTAATCAGTGAAAGAACTAATCCTTTAGCAAATATAATATCAGCGATGTCTGCAAAGAAATTGATGCTACAAGGATGTCAAGTTTTTCTTGCAAATGTAGTAGATACAAGAGTTAAAGAGAAATGGTTAGATGAGATTCTGATAGTCAGAGAATTTCCTGATGTTTTCCCTGCGGAGTTTCCAGGATTACCTCCAGATAGAGAGGTAGAATTTCAAATTGAAGTAATGTCGGGAACAACTCCTATTGTAATGACACCTTATCATATGGCTCAGAAAGAATTGCAAGAATTGAAGAAGCAATTGCAAGAGTTATTAGAGAAGGGATTTATTTGACCAAGTGTGTCACCTTGGGGAGCTCTAGTGTTATTTGTTGAGAAGAACGATGGTTCAATACGTCTTTGCATTGATTATAGGCAGCTTAATAAGGTGACCATCAAGAACAAGTATTCACTCCCCCGAATTGACGATTTATTTGATCAATTAAAAGGAGCTTCAGTGTTCTCAAAGATTGACCTACTTTTGGGTTATCATCAATTAAAGATTCAAGAGAAAGACATCCCAAAGACGACATTTAGAATGAGATATGGTCACTATGAGTTTATCGTGATGCCGTTTGGAGTTACGAATGCACCTGCTGCTTTCATGGACCTCATGAATAGGATTTTTCAGCCCTATTTGGATCAGTTTGTTATTTTCTTTATTGATGACATATTGGTGTACTCGAAATCCCAAGAAGAGTATGGCGTACATCTGAGGATCGTTTTACAAATCCTAAGAGATAAGAAGCTATATGTCAAATTGTCCAAATATGAATTTTGGTTAAATGAAGTAATTTTCTTGGGGTATGTTATCTCTACAGATGGGATTAGGGTGGACCCTCAAAAGATTAAAGCTATAATGGACTGGGAGATTCCAAAGAATGTATCGGAAGTTTGGAGTTTCCTTGGACTTGTAGGTTATTATCGAAGATTTGTTAAGAATTTTTCGATGATAGTATTACCTTTAACAAAGCTGATGAGAAAGAATGTACCATTTATATGGAATTCAGAGTGCCAAGAAAGTTTTGAAACTTTAAAGAGAATTTTAACAGAAGCTCCTATATTGGTTCAACCTGAATCTGATAAGAATTTTGTGGTATACAGTGACACGTCCCATAATGGGTTGGGATGTGTATTAATGCAAGAAGGGAAAGTGGTGGCATATGCATCCAGACAATTGAAACCCCATGAAAGGAATTATCCAACTCATGACTTGGAAATGGTTGTTGTAGTGTTTGCTCTCAAGATTTAGCGTCACTACTTATACGGAGAGCGTTGTTACTTGTATACAGATCACAAGAGTTTGAAGTATTTGATGACTCAAAAAGAGCTTAATTTGAGGCAAATGATATGAGTTGAGTTTTAAAAGATTATGATGTGATAATTGACTATCATCCCGGAAAGGCTAACGTGGCAGCAGATGCTTTGAGCATGAAAACGTTTGCAGCTTTATGAGCTATGGACGCAAGATTATCTTTAACTGGAGACGGTGGTCTATGTGCAGAGTTAAAGCTTAAACTAACGTGGTTGGATCGAATTGGAGAATTGAAAATTAAAGATGAAATGTGTTTGAAAAGAATAGAGCAAGTAAAGAATAAAGAGATTAAAGATTTTGAGGTTAAGTCGGATGGAAATTTGTATTATAAAAGAAGAATCGTGATACCAGACGATAAGGAATTGAAGAAAGATCTATTGACAGAGGCTCATTGTAATCCATTGACGATGCATCTAGGTAGAACCAAGATGTATATGGATTTAAATGATCGGTATTGGTGGTCAGGAATGAAAAGAAGTATCACCGAATTTGTGTCTAAGTTAAAGCTGAACATCAAGTTCCATCGGGATTATTGCAACCGCTTTCTATTCCACAATGGAAGTGGGAAAATGTGACGATGGATTTTGTTTTGGGGTTACCCTTGACTCCAAACAAAATAGATTCAATATGGGTGATTATTGATTGATTGACTAAGTCAGCGCATTTCCTTCTGGTTAGAACATATTTCTCTATGGAAAAGTACGCAGAGCTGTATATTAGAGAAATTATTAGATTTCATGGAGTGCAAGTTTATATAGTTTCTGATCGAGACCCTCGATTTACTTCGAGATTCTGGAAATCCCTACATGGAGCGTTGGGAACTCGCCTAAACTTTAGTACGTCTTTTCATCCTCAAACTGACGGGCAATAAGAAAGAACTATTCAAATCTTGGAAGATATGTGAAGAGCATGCATAATTGAGTTCAAAGGGTTATGGGGAAAATATTTACCATTGGCAGAATTCGCTTATAATAATAGTTATCAGTCCAGTCACCCTATGAGACGTTATATGGAAGAAAATGTCGTACACCATTAAACTGGTATGAGCTCAAAGATCGCAGTGTTCTTGGTCTGAATTTGATTCAAGATGTGGAAGAGAAAGTTCGTGAAATTCAAAATAATCTTAAAGTGGCATTTGATCGACAAAAGTCCTATTTTGACTTTAAAAGAAAAGAAATTGAATTTGAAGTTTGAGAAAAAGTTTTCTTGAAAGTATCTCCCTGGAAGAAAGTATTGCGGTTTGGACGTAAAGGAAAGTTGAGTCCTAGGTTTATTGGACCTTATGAGATTGTAAACAGAGTAGGTCATGTGGCATATCAACTAGCTTTGCCACCTGAGATGGAAAAGATACATGATGTATTTCACGTTTCAATGCTTCGAAGATATAGATCTGATCCCTCTGATATCGTGACATCAAAAGAGATTGAGGTTCAATCTGACTTAACTTATGAGAATAACCTGTTCAAATATTAGCTCACGAAGTGAAACAACTAAGGAATAAGACTACTCATTTGGTCAAAGTTCTGTGGTGAAATCACAAGGTAGAAGAAGCAACGTGGGAACGTGGAGAGGATATGCGGTATCAGTACCCCCATCTGTTCGTGTAATGAAAATTCGAGGACGAATTTTCTTAAGGGGGAGATTTGTAACATCCTCAATACCTGTTTAGTGACCAAAGTGTGAAATTTTAAAATTCAATGACCAGATTAAATAAATTGAAAAGTGAAGGATTTAATTGAAAGATGTTGATGTAGGATTAATTAACAAATAAGGAGAAGTTAAGAGGGCAAATGGGTCTTTTATCAAGGGAATAATTAAATATGGGTGGTGGGTATTTTATAACCCACGTGGAACCCATTTTTAGGAAACAAAAGTTTCCAGAGATTTCTCATTTTCATCTTCTTCTCCCAACCGTGAAGTACTCAAGCTAAGGTGAGTTGGATTTCTTTTTATTAATCCTTCAAATTATAGTATGGTTTTGATTCATGAAGCTTTAGGAAAGATGATGAAGATTAAAAAGATTATAAAAACTCAAAGATTTATAAGTTACGAAGGATTAAAAATGGGAAGTGGATAAGTGAAATTTTGAATAAGGATGTATAAATGGATTTAGAAGTTGAATTTGACTTGTCATGGGTGTGAATAATAAGTTATAAGTGTTAGAAATAAGTTTGGATTACATGGAAATTTCGGTATGATTCTTAGTTTTAAGAATTTGAAAAAGATATGGAAATTCTAAAGTGTTTGAATGATAAGAGTTAGTTAAAATGGTTGTAATTGAGTTTAGTAGTATGAAAGGAGTTTTATATGAGGAATTTAATGAAAAATTGTGGAATTTTTTGGTGAAACCAGTTTATTATTGACATATACATCGATGCATTATGAATGGGCATCGATGCACTAAGACAAAATTGAAGGTGCATCGATGCATTAAGGGGTGCATCGATGCATTAAGGGGTGCATCGATGCATTAAGGGGTGCATCGATGCATAGGAATTTTGAACCTAATTTCTGTACCGATGCATCCATAGTGCATCGGTACACGATACATCGGTACACCCCTAAAGGAAAATTGAATTTTGGGTTCATTAAATTAGTTCAAGTTATTAGTATCGAATTATAAGGTTTAGGCTTCTTATAATTATCTTAAAAATTATAATTATGTAGATATCGAGCCAAAACGAGTTTTGGAACAAGTGACAAGTAAGATCGATCGAGGAAAAGGCAAAGAAATATAGGTGAGTGCATATGCATAACATGAATATAGTAGTATATTCAGTTATAGACTTGTGATAAGTCTAGATTGAATATTTTGACACATGATCACATTCCATATTATGATACATGACATGAATTCATATTATATGTATTATGTGACATGAATATGCATGAAAAAGTTATATGAGTTATGTGATAAAGGTATGTAAATGATATGTCTATGTGATAAAGGTATGGAAATAATATGTCTATGCGATATGACATACGTGAATTGTGAAAGCCCATGTTATGTAGATGAGAACTATATGTATAGTTGGCATGCCAAGAGTAGAGGGTATACGCGGTCATTCGGGACAAAATTTTGCGTGGTCTTTCGGGACATATATGTATTCTTTGGAACATGTATGAGGTCTTTTGAGACACCTGTTTGATCATTGGTATATGTATATGATTCTTAAGGAATTTCTATGTGGTCCTTAAGGACATATTATATGGCACTACGGTGCAATTCTACATGGCACTTCGGTGCATTTCTACGCGGTCCTTCGAGATAAATTCTACGTGGCACTTTGGTGCAAATTTATACGAGATGTGGTGACAGCATAGTGCACAACCTCATAGTACTCACATACCTCGGGTTCTCAGTATTGTATCATGGGCTATTGAACCTATTGAACTTATTATATGAATTTATGATGGTTAATTGATCAAATAATGGGTAAGATACATGATTATGCAAATTGCATAGATTGAATATATGATTTCATGATATTGCATTTCATTATGATATTTTCATTATTATTATGCCTCACTAAGTCTATGACTTAGCGTGTAAGTGTTTTACACGTAGGTACCGAAAAGCAGAGAGATCTATTATAAGCTCAGCAGAACAACATAACTCCCCTTGAAGGTCAGATCATAAGTAAATTAAATAGTATGTGTTATTATGTGAAAATAGGTTGCATATAAACAAAGTCAGTAAATTAAGTATTTATGCTCTGATCGAGTTTTGTAACGTTTTAAACGTAATTATGTAAATTAAATGCATAGTAATGAACGGTTAAATTTTTACGAGTTTTATGTACATTTTTCAAAAATCACTGTAGCAATACCGTAGTCGTGCATCGATGCATTGTAGCAGTGCATCGATGCACAATTTTGCTTCGAAGTTTTATGCATCGGTGCACTGTAGCATTGTAGCACTATTCACGGCATTGTACCACTGTTCACAGTACTGTTCATAAAATGTATATTTTATTAAATTGGTTATAACGACCATAATTCAATAATATATTATAATATTTTCTTAATATGAGTTAAAATGTTTTGTTATTTTATAAGAAAATTGTTTTAAAAATTCAATGTGACATCTCGGACTCGTATCTGGGTCGGATACGGGTTGGGGTGTTACAAAATGATTGATTTATTATAAATCTATAATATTAGTGATTAATTTTTTATTTTCAAAATTTTAATGAAAAACGAAAACTTACTCAAATATTATTGATCATTTATGTAATTTATCCTTTCAATATAATAGATAAAGAAATTGTATGTTACTTTCTCATGTTTCCGTTAGCACTTGCTGAAATTTATGACGAAATAAGCCAATGAATATTTTATTTTTAAAATTTTAATGAAAAACAAAAAACTTAATCAAACATTAATGATCATTTATGTAATTTACTCTTTTTAATATAATATGTTAAGAAATTGTATGTTACTTTCTCATGTTTCCGGTGGCAATTGCTGAAATTTATGACGAAATAAGCCAATGCCAGAAAGGATTAGACTGCATTAGAGAATATATGCTTTAGAAAACTCTTCAAAAAAAGCCGTGTTGTTTTCTGGTGTTATTGATTTCTAGTGCCAGGAAAAAACTGTATTCAAAATTATCCAAGTATTTATGAAATTAATAAAAAAATGTTTCATTAATTATATTTTATAAAATATTACTTTAATTCATGGTTATGAGCATTAATTAACATTTTCTAAATATTAATTAAAAATAATAGAAGAGAGTGGTTGACTACATATTTATATTTCCAGCTAGGCTATTTTTGTTTCTATGGTTACATTTCAAAATTACATTTTCATATATTATATTATATTTTCTTCTGTTTTCTATAGCTTATTTGAGTTTTGGTTCTTTGCTGTATGTGTATTGATACTATTTTGTAGTTTTTTTATTGGAATATTGTACACAACCGAATGTTTTTTTATTTGAGTCCACAGTTGCTCGAGATAGAGGTATAGGATAATAAATATATTTAAATTTAAAAAATTTCGACTTAATAGCATTAAAAAATTAAATTCAAATTTAGAGGGGTCAGATTAATTTTAAAATTAACTGAGATGAAAAATAATTTTTCTCAACACTCTTAAAATATTTTAATATATAATTATATAATTATACTTTAAGATATGTACTATTTTTTACTGTCTAATCTCATAATTTGCATTTCTTATTTACATTTTCAAACTTGCATTATCATTCAGAGCTTCAAAATCCTATTGTAAATGTGTAAATAATAATTTTCCCTTCTAATCTCACACTTTTAAAAAAAATCAAAAATTGAATTATGGATTTGCATGTATAACTAAATCATGGTTCAACTATACTTCCAGTCAGAAAAAATAACGAGAGAAATTTATATGATAAAAATAAACATTACAAAAAAGTAAGCATCCGCCTGTATCTTGTTTGTGATAAAAATACAAGTCGGTTTCTAGCAATGAAAAGAAAAGTAGAAAACCATGTCAATAAGAAGAACGAAATGAATCATCAGCGCTTTCGATTCAAAATGAACGGAAGGAAGTATCGGCACTTTCGTTTCAAGAAGAACGAAAGGAAGTAACGACACTTTCGATTCAGGGAGAGAGTCTTAGAATTCTACAGCGGCATCGGCGACATGAGGTATTCTCTAATGAAAGCTGGCGTCAACTATCATATAGTAGAAGCCTTCGAAATCAACGATAAAGCTAATGATGTTTATCAGCAATATTTCGGTCATCGACCTTATCAGGGAAATATTCAGAACCTAACTGAAATCGATCTCAATAGTTATGGAGCAAATGTATGGCTTCTTTCACCTCCTTGCCAGCCATATACTAGACAAGGTCTCCAGAAACACTCTGCTGATGCTCGAGCATTTTCATTTCTTAATATTCTTGAACTTATACCACGCCTGTCAAAACCTCCTAATATGTTTCTTGTAGAAAATGTTGTTGGATTTGAGACTTCAGATACTCAGGAAAAAATGGTAGAAGTATTGGCAAGATCTTATTTTGTTGTGCAGGAGTTTATATTGAGCCCTCTTCAATTTGGGGTTCCTTATTCTAGACCACGCTATTTTTGCCTGGCAAAACAAAAACCTTTATCTTTTCAGTGCCAACTGTTCAATAACCAGCTTCTCTGGTCTCCGAGTCCGTTATTCGGTAATGATGAAAAGACAGTGATTGGTGAAAATGGTCAATCAAAAGAGAACTGGGATAAGTTAATTGATTCTTGCCAGCCAATAGAGAAGTTTCTTGAATTTACACCTTCAAGTGATCAACTGGACATGGGGACCATTTCTTTTGTGAATACAGATGATTCAGCAGATGTCCAGGAAACTTCAGATAAATTTGTTGAAGGAAATGCATGTGATGTTGGTTCTATAGATCAGTTCATTGTTCCATTAAGTCTGATTGAGAGGTGGGGAAGTGCCATGGATATTGTTTACCCTGATTCCAAACGGTGCTGTTGTTTTACGAAAAGCTATTATCGGTATGTGAAAGGTACTGGCTCCCTTTTGGCAACTGTCCAGCCAAAGAACAAGGGAAAAACATCTTCCTTGAAGGAGCAAATGCCATCGGCATCTTCGGCAGCGGCAACGGCTGCTAAACTGGCGTCGTTTACTGCCAGCTTGGATCCAGCGAATCCCGTTGGGTTCTTGGAGAAGGTTTTCGATTTCATTGCGGAAGAGAGTGATTTCCTCGTGAAAGAGAACGTCCATAAGGAGGTGGCGGCGATCGTGAGGGTTGTCAAGGAGAAGAGCAAGAAGAAGGATGAAGAGGAGGCTCAGAAGGCGGAGAATAAGACGGAAGTGGAGAAGGAAGAAATGGAGGTCCAAAAAAAGGAGGACGCGAAGGATGAAGAGACTAGCTCTGGCCCGAGAGTTCCAAACAAGGGCAATGGTCTTGATCTGGAGAATTACTCTTGGACACAGACCCTGAAAGAGGTTACCATTAGCGTTTCGGTTCCGAGCGGGACAAGCTCGAGGTTTGTCGTGTTCGATATTAAGAAGAATAGTCTAAAAGTTGGGCTCGAGGGCCAGCCTCCTGTTATCGATGGGGAGATGTTCCAAGCCGAATCTGTGAAGAAACTGTTTGTGGAGTGAATAGGAAATTATGGGATTTCGGAGCTGGAAAGGGTTTACTGTCGTATAATGAAAGGCATTTTTGAAAGTAGGGAGAAAGGTGCACGGAAGATGTTGAACATGATCCAATTTCTATACTGGTGCCAATGACAAGGCCGTCACCGTTATTTCTGCATAGTAGTATAATTCTTTTGTGTGTGTAAACATAAGTTTAATTTTGTATTCATTTTGTTGCTTCTATCTCAAAGTGTCATGGGACTTGAAAGCTTCACACTCAAGAGTCCATAAAAATATGTCAAGGAGCCTTGTAAAAGATGGTGAAGAAGAAAGAAATGAAGGTGAATAAGAAGAACAAAATGAAACATCGGCACTTTCGATTCAAAGTGAATGGAAGGAAGCATCGGCACTTTCGATTCAAGAAGAACGAAAGGAAGCAACGACACTTTCGATTCAAGTGAACGGAATGAATCATCATTACTTTCGATTCGATTGTTCATCTTTTCAATTGTTCAAGGCTAAGATGTGAGTGTTACCTTGTTGAAGGAGGAGGAGAAAGTAGAGGGAATATTAGAGCCAAGTAGCTAAGGCCAGTTAAGAGTTGTTAGAACTGTTAGTAGTCAATTAAGGTAGTTATTACAACTTCTCGTGTTATTATCCCCCTTAATAAGGGCAAAAACATGGACATAAATTAGCTTTTTATCAGATTTGTTGTGTGGTCTAGAATACTCTTGTTCCCCATTAAAAAATGAGATTAAAAGATAAAACGAGGGGCACTTGGGTACACCATGGATGAAGCCTTCTCTTCCGTGATCAACAAAATATAAATTAATGTAAGAAATTATAAATAAGAAAGCATACGAAACCGGTCTTGTCTTGCTGTCTTTACTTACTACAAAACCCTATTGTATAAACATATTTAAGTTGTGGTGATGATCTGACCACGCAAGAGAGAGAGACGATCGACCAATGATTGAGTGCCATTGGATTCTCAAAATATTCCTTTCCACCCCAAACATAAAATTTTTTAATAAGTTATTAACACAAGGAATGATAACAATTTCATACGTATAAATATATCGTGTTAAACTTTATATCAAAATTTATAAATTAAATCTTAATTTTATTGATATTGTTATTATTTTAAGATCATATATTTAAATATAGTATTTATAGGTGAATGATTTATGAAATAGTTAATGTTTTAAAAAGTTATAAACTTAATATTTATATTAAAAAAAATGAATGCAAGCTTTGACCATGGCCACGAACAGGATTTCCGAATCATGAGATGGATGAGTACTCAATTATTTGAAGTACAAATATCCTCATTATTGTAATCAACGATAGTGATAAATATAGTAATTAATTCGATTAAAATAATAGTCCCCATTATTATCTTCAAAAGTTTGGTGCTACCTGCACCTACACGTGGCAAACATCCAAGTGAAGTGGGACCCAACACATGACGGCTACATATTGGAGATCCTTTCCTTGGCGGGTCCCAGTGGTACCATGTGTAAGATCGTGAGGATTGAACAAATTTAAAAGGGAAGGATCCACGACACGCTATTATATTATAGTAAAATAAAAAATTACAAATTTACACGTGCTCAAGAATAGGAGGATTTTGGTTTTTTATTTTCTGTGGAGAAGAGAAATGATTAGGAAATTTTGCTTACACTTGGAGGTAGGGGTAGCTTCCTGTCCTTTTTTTCTTCTTGGGGGGTTAAAAATGTTCAATGATTAAGCAATCAAATAAAGGGAACTCATGGAGGTCGCTTAATCATGCTTGTGTTTGTGTACGAGGTCATCCCAGTACCCCTTGATTTACTGTTAACTTCTTTTTTAAATTAATCGAGACATGAAATAAGGTTCGAGAAATGAAAGAAGAGGAAAAAGATAAATGAGAATGAACTCTGGATCGACACCTATCATTATGATGTCGTGTTATGTGATATATGTAAGGCAAAATTTACCATTTGACTTGCAATTCGCAATGTTGCCATTTCAATATTATATATATGGAATTCGATCATAATATAAAGTGCAGAAAACATTCACATGCATCCTCCTTTGTTAATCTTTGACGTCTTCAACTAGGAATGACTGTAATTCATGACTAGGATCATACTATAATTTAATATTAATTAATGAGCGAAAGGTTATAAGTTATTGGCTTCTATTGATGGATTAACAAGTTACGTGTTTTTAATAATGTAATTATTGAGAGAAAAAAATTGTTGGCAATAGTTAATGATAAGAAAGGTAGTAGGATATACTAAGTAAATAGAATGAAATGGTAGGAGATATTTGCGATTTGGAATTGTGATGGAGCTAGTTCAATTATTTGCCAACTCAACTGAGATCCCTATAAAAAGCGGCTTTGTGCCTTGGAGCTTCTCCTACTACAGATCCAAATCCCGAAGCCTTGCCCTCGGACTCTCCTCTTTCTTCTTCTTCTTCCAATCTCTCGTCTTAGCTAATAGAGGTGACTGCAAATCTGATGGAAAATCTAGTGAAAACCCAGAAATCTAAAACCTATCAAAAGGCAAAAGGAATGGTGGCGCCCTTTGCCATTCTTTTCTCCGTTGTGGTTTATGCCTCTATCTTCTACATCTTCAGCTTTTCTCCTTCCACTCTTTTTAACGATAACAAGTTTTGGTTCGTCATTTCTAACACTCTGATCCTCATCATTGCCGCTGACTACGGTGCTTTCTCTTCATCAAAAGATCAGCAACGTGACTTGTACGAGGAATATGCGTTGCATAGCCAGGCAACGAGGAGAACCAGCACTGCCACTGCCGGTGCACCATTTGTTTCTGAATGCCCCGAAATTGCAAAAAAGAGCCTTCCCATGAAAGAAGAGACTATTTCGAAAGACAAGTATATAGAAGAAGATCGCGTAACTCACAAGTCACACCAATAACGATATCCCAGAAAAGATATTGGAAGTTGCGGAAATCGAACCACGAACAGACAATTTCCTAGCCAATATCAGTACCGAGGCGCAGGAAGTTGCAGCTCCCACGAAAGCAGTAGCTGATAATGGAATAACATGTTGTCATCACCAGGTAATCAACAAGAAGACCGAACCGAAAAGTATCCGAAGAAGTAAGTCCGATAAAGTAAAACATGTTAAAGCCCTTAACAAGCAGAAGGCTGTTCTACGTCGATCCAAGACGGAAAAGCAGCATGATGAAAACGACGGACCAAGTGCCAAAGACAACAAGTTTTCCAGCATGTCCAACGAGGAACTAAACAGGAGAGTCGAGGAGTTCATTGAGAGGTTAAATAGAGAAATTAGGCTTCAAGGTGTAAGAAATCGACAAGTTTCGGAATTCGAATAGACTAAAATTAAGAGAGAGAGAGAGAGAGAGAGAGAGGAGATATTGTGATAGTTATTACAAAATTTGTGATGCAGGGGATCCGAGACAGATGATGCTGAGCTGTCAGATTGCACCTTGATAGCGCTGAGATATCATGAATTGGCAGATCAGCGCAAAGGCGGGAATTGATTGTGACATGTTCCTCATTGGGGTCGTTTTGAGTATGTTTCAGTCTTTTGGCCATAACTTTGGCTACAAGTGTCAGAATCGCGCATAAGACCCCAATCCGGAAGCTCCTTTCGACACACACGCTCTCCACTGGCCTTTTTTTCAACCTCAAATTCTGCCGTTTTCCCCTCCAAATCACTAGAATTAGATATGTTTTACTATTTATGGTAATATTTCGATTGTCAATTAGGAAGTCAATTTAAATCCGATTTAGGCCGTATTTTTTGGAGATTGCTTATTTTATTTCGAATTTCAATTTAGAGTGATTTTCGGGATTTTGCTATTTTTGGCAAAATTCGAATAAAGACGATTTTTGGCTATAACAGTCCGACTTGTGGACTGATTTTGAATGGTTTTTGATTTGATAATATTTTATTAAACCCTAGAGACTTTTTCTCTGGATTTTTTTGGGCGAATTTTCTCTTGTGAATCATCTGTTGGAGCGCTTGCAGGATAATCATTATTCTATCTGGCGTCAGTTGGTGTCAGAGCTTCAACATCTTCCTGGGAAATTTCACCAGTTTCAATGGCTGGAGGTCGTGGTCGTGGTCGTCGTGAGAAGGTTCCGAATGAGGAAGCTCAACGCCGTGATCGCAACGTTCAGGATATGATGATTGCGGATTTACAGAGGCAAGTCACAGAATTAACCCAACGCCTGGCGGCGCAGGATTTCGAGGATCGTGAAGCCTCTGATCACGATACCAATTCCGCTTTCGAAAACCCATATCACAATCGTGCTCTATTCCGGGAACATCGTGGTCGGGAAGAGCGTCATGGAGACCTAGGTTTTCGGGTCGATCTCCCTGAGTTTTCTAGTACATTACAGGCCAAGGGATTCGTGGATTGGATTAATGAAGTAGAGCGTATTTTTGAATATAAGTAAGTCCCCGATCGTGTGAAAGTGAAACTGATCGCCATCAAACTCAAGGGCAGAGCATCTGCGTGGTGGGAACAGTTGCGCCATTCACGAGAAAGACATGGCAAGGCCAAGATCATTGATTGGGAGAAAATGAAGAAGAAGATGAAGGGTCACTTCCTTCCCTTCGGCTACACGCAAACCTTGTTTTAGGGACTTTATGCGTTGAGGCAGGGCGCACGATCAGTCGATGATTACACGGAGGAGTTTTACCAATTGGTCGCCCGGAACGATTTATCTGAGACAGAGGAGCAAATGGTGGCACGGTATTTGGGGGGTTTACGCCAGCCCTTACAAGATGTCCTCAGCCTTCATTCACTCTGGAGTGTTTCGGAAGCTTACCAGCGTGCACTTGCTGTTGAAAAACAGAAAAACAAGAGACCAGTGATCAGGAACGATCACAACAGTCGACCAGTTCGTCCTCAGGATTCCCGTCCTGCTCAACAGCCACCGTAGGGTAATTCTAACCCTACTATTAGATGTTTTCGTTGTGGTGAACAAGGGCATAGGGCGACTGATTGCAGGAAGCCTGCTAGTCAAAAGGGCAAAAA